CCAGGATGGGGCCATGTCCTCACCCAAACCAGCACAGTCAAAACCACCAGAGGCTGTATAATTAGCCAAAATCCCCCACCCACTGGTTTTTATCTCTGGTGCGATAAAACCTCTGCAACGGTGCAATCTAGCAACCCCTTCCTACTGGAGTGCATTATACATACAAATTTGATGCTCAATTATCCTTGTTTTTTTGTCAAGGATTTCTTGGCTCTGGTTGCTTTCAGCAGCTGAGATTTGACAGCCTCTGCCTTCCCAAATTTCTCCTATCTGGAGGAACAAGTATTTTGTGGACACTGTGGTATAATCCTACAGGCCCTTTTAGAGTGATGATGCTCCTTCTAGGGCCTGGCAGAGCTCAGCCTTCACAAGGGCAAAACAGATGCTCCAAGACAGACTGTGTGTTTCACAAACTCTTCCCCTTAAACCAGGACATGCTCTCCTGTGTTCCTTCTCCCAGTCCTGCTCCTGAGTCAAACTTGGGGGTCGGAGAGACAGCAATGGGAGTCCTGTGGCCAGTGGGGTTTTATTGGGAAGGCAGTGCCAGGTCTGTGCCCTCCCTGTGCTCTGAACCAGGATGCTCTCTGTAGCTCTGCACTGATTTCCATTGTGTATGAAGAGGGAGAGGTAGGAAAGAGGCTTTTAAGGTCTGTTGCCGTGGTGGTGATAGGGAGTGGGAGGATTTCCTGCTTTCCTTTTTGCAAATTATCTATAGTGGGCACGAAGCACCTTCCTGCAGTGCTCAGTGCCTGAAGAGTGGGGAGAGCTCCTGGCTGGTTCCTTCTGTGGTTCATCCTGAGCCGTCACAGTTTTGGCTCTGATGGGAACACTTCTCTGGTGGAGGGTTGCAAGGCAGGACACTGAAGTGCTTCCTGCTGAGGGCCAGAGTGTTTCACCCCCACATAGGCCTGGCAAGAGCAGTTCCCCTGATCCAAACAGAGTGTTTTTGAATACACCTCCACCTCTTCAATAACAGGAGCAACTGGCTCAGCAGGAAGAGGTGGAGACTATTTGTGGCTGGAACAAAGGAGGGGATCTTGTCATTGCAGCCAGTGTGGTCAGGCAGAGGTGGGACAAGAGCAGCTCTTCACCCCCATGGCAGCAGAGCAGGGGCTGTGGGGTTTGCCTGTGACCTCCCCACCCATGTTTCCACCTGCCCTCAGATTTGCAGGTGTGTGATGGGTGTTTGGCAGTGGTTCCATGTGCCATATGCAATTAACCCATTTCTCCACTGCAGGGCACTGACAGACTGTGCGAGAGGAACTGGATCATGGAGCAGCCCTGCTGCTGCACGGAACGTTCACTGTTATTCACTGTTTTATGTTTTATGCAATTCTTAGCTTAGTTCTGAAGAGATCCCAGCCTGAGAGTTAATTGTATGGTGGAGAGGAGAAACAGGGGCATTACTCATCCGAGAAGAGGAGCCTTTTGTTTGAAAACTGGGTTTAAAGAATGGAAACTTCTCATAGATAAGGGGCCTGTCATTTTTTTCAAGTGTATATTGCTGCATATCAACACACCAGCGGCTCTGGTGGAGTCATAAATCAAAGGGTCAAAGCTCAAATGTCTGTGAGGTGGGTCTGGCAGCATCAGTTGCCACCCACACTGCAGAGAGCAATGACAGCCCTAATTTGCATACATGGGGTAGGGTCTGGAGCACCAGGAGCAGCTGAGGGAGCTGTGGGGGTTCAGCCTGCAGAAAAGAAGGCTCAGGGGGGACCTTCTCACTCTCTTCAGCTCCCTGACTGGAGGGCAGAACCAGGTGGGGGTTGGGCTCTGCTCCCAGGGAACAAGGGACAGGACAAGAGGCAACAGCCTCAAACTATGCCAGGGGAGGTTTAGATTGGATATTAGGGGAAATTGGTTCCCTGGGTTGTCCAGACGTGGAATAATGGGTTGCCCAGGGCAGTGATGGAGTCACCATCCCTGGAGGGATTTAATAGATGTGTTGATGTGGCACTTGGGGACATGGGTTAGCGGTGGCCTTGGCAGTGCTGGAGGAGCGTTTGGATTTTATGGTCTTAGAGGTCTTTTCCAACCCATAATTCTATGATTCTAAAAGAGCCAAAGTGGTGGGTGGCAGTGGGGTGGCAGTTCTGCCCTGTTCTGGAGCTGGGGTTCAAGGGCTGACTGTGACAGCCTGGGGGGTCCCTGTCACTGCAGCACTGCAGGTCCCACGGTTGGCCTGCACGACAGCCATTCCCTTTCCCACATGTTTGGGATGTCCTCAGGTCAATAAGAGCTGGGTGAGGATACGGCCCCTCTGGGTCTGCACCGGAGGCTGGTGGAGCCCAGGCCTGCTCGGAGCTGCTGCCTCTGCCCCCGAGCGCTGCCATCCTGCCAGAGCAGCTCCTGCTCCAGGCCTGCCGGGGCTTGAACCATCCACAGTTTCTGTGGCCACCTGGAAGCTCCCAGGTCTCATCTCCCCAGGCCTTTGCAAAGGCACAGCAGAGGCTCCTCCTCAGACAGTGGGAAATGAGACAGCAGCTTCTTGGGAACACGACTGCTCTTCTTGAAGTCTCCATTTGAATGGAGCCTCCCAGGGGCTGTGGAACCTCTGGAGCCTGGCTTGGCCAGTTCTCTGGCTCTGTTGCTGCGTGTAGGTGTTTTTGTTTGCCATTAAGCGGCTCCTGAATAACTGATCAGATGGTTTCATTGCTCCTCAATATTTGCTGAAAGCCCCGTGTGCTGGAGCAGGGGTTCCCAGCCATGGGTGGAACAAGAACCACTTCAAAGAGGTGTAAGAGGCAGTTAACACCCTCTTTGCAGAAGCACTGATCCAAACCACGGATCACCCTCATCCGTACAGGAGGTGCCAACTGCCAGCCACAGCCTAAGCTGCAGGGAGGGTGCTGGGGGGGGGAAAGGTGCGTGATGGGATGGGTTATGGCTTGGCTTCTGGAAAAGAGAAAGGCAAATGAGTCATGGAATTGGGATCCCTTTGTGTGGTGAAGATAAAAGGGTTGTTAAGGTGGGGAAAACACCTATATTACCCTGATTTGGGAGCAAGGGAGGTCTGTGGGAAAGGGATCCTAATTTAAATGGGATGTGGGTGTACACAACAAGGGTGGGGACAGAGGAGATGAGGCGAACTCCATATTCCTGAAGCTGTTGCATGTCTGGATGCTTTTGTTCCTGAAAGCTTTCCACTGGCTCCCATCCATGCACCTGCTCAGAGGCAGCTCCCATGCACCCGTACGGCTCCCTTGGAATGGGGCATGGAGAGATCCATCAGCTTCATTGGCTCAGGACCCCAGTGCCCATAACAGACGGGAGATTTGGGTTGGTTAATGGCAGATGAGGGAGTTCCCCGTGGAGGGCAGGGATGCAGAACTGATCTTTCCAGGTCCTGCCAAGAGATGGGACAAGGACACGGATCTGCCTCTCCCTTTGCCATGGCTTCATCCTGACCCGCTGCTGCCATGCTCTGCTGTCAGCCAGGCTCTCCTGCCTCCTGACATGAGTCACAGCCTCTCCGCCCTCGGAGCCGACCTTGGACTCCTCTGTCAGGGAACCACACCTTTGGTAATGACAAAAAGCAGCATTTGGAGCGTTTAAATTGCCACAGCTGTGGCACAGAGGAGGTGCCCGCAGGCAGATCCAGTGGGTGCTCCTGGCTGAGGAGAAACGTTCCCTGTTCTGAGGAGAAACATTCTCTGGTCTGAGTAGAAAATGTTCTCTGTCTGAGGAGATTTTCCCTGGTCTGAGGAGTTATGCTCCCTGAGCTGGGCTCCTACAGCTCCCAGGCCATCATGGCTGTGCTGACCTGAGGGATGACAGAAGAACAGTGGTGGGCTGAAGGGACTGTTGTCCACATAACCGGATTTGTTACCCTGTGTTCAACAAGCCAATAATGACACACTTGAGAGAGACACTGATTATTTATCAGGGTTGTGCAGCCTGTGTGCTCGATGGTATTCCACAAATCCAGCACACCCCACTGGACTCTCCCTGCTGTTATTTATACACAGAAATTCAGAGTTAGTAACTTTCCAAGTACAGCTCGTCTATTAGGATTGGTCAGTAATTTCCATACAAGTTATGTAACCCCAGTTAAATTCTGTGTATTATCAGGGGAAGGGTCTTCTTGACCTAGAGACATGAATTTAGTATCATAATGAACATAGTCCAACTAAGGATATATGGATCTTGAGTATTTTGCCAAAGTAGCAATGCATGCACAGACATACATCAACATCTTGATTTACATACTTAAAGGTTATTAGTTCCAGGATGTCCTTGACTAAGAGATACAGCTGCTGCCTATTCCGCCGATTAGAATCACAGATTTGTTAGGTCTGGAAACAGATGGGTTGGAAACAGATGGGTATCTGGAGATCATCCAATCCAACCCCCTACCAAGGCAGAATCACCTGGAGCAGGTGACACAGGGACTTGCCCAGGTGGGTTTGGAATATCGCCAGAGAGGGAGACTCCACACCCTCTCTGGGCAGCTGTTCCAAGGCTCTGCCACCTTCGATGGCAAGTTCTTCCTCGTGATTTAGTTTGTGGCCATTGATTCTTGTTTTGGCGCTGACATCACTGAACAGAGCCTGGCACCATTCTCTGACAGCCCTTGGGAATACTGGTATAGATTGATGTGAAACCCTCTCAGTCTCCTCCAGATTAACCAAGCCCAGCTCCCCCAGTCTCTCCTCGCGAGGGAGATGCTCCGGACCCTTCACCATTGTTGTGGCCTCTGGCGGCTCCCCTCCAGTAGCTCCTTGCCTTTCTTGTACTGAGGAGCCCAGAACAGGACACAGCAAAAACAATCTCGTCACATCCCATTTTACACCACCCTCTCCCCTCCAGCCGCTCGCCCTCAGGGCGCGGGGCCGGGACTCGAACCCGCGCCCCCCGAGCGGAGCAGGTGGAGAGGGGCGGAGCCAACCGCGACCGCTCTGAGCGGGGGGAGCCCCGCCCCGCGCCCGGACCGCGCGGTCGCCATGGCAACAGCGGCGCTTCCCGCGGGGCCCCGCGGCCGCCGGGGCGAAGGGGCCGGACCGGCACCGGGGCGGGACATCCCCGCCTCCCTCCAGCGCCTCCCGCCGCCGCCCCGCAGCCCCTCACCCGGGGGAACGCGGAGGGCCGGACCCCGCCCCGCCCCGCCCCCGGCCGTGCCCGGCCGCCGCTCGCCGCCGCCGCGGGGGAAAGGCCGCTGCGCTCCCAACTTCACGCAACTTCCCCGGTGCGGTGGAGCCGGCGCAGCCCCGCGCCCGGTTCTTCCTGCGGGAGCCGCCGGCGGCTTGGCTGGGTAAGTGGCGACAGGGAGCCCGCGGGGAGGGGTAGGACAAAAGGCGGCTGGTGCTCGCTCGCCCTTGGGGCCGACGCGGGACCACCCCCCGTGTGCCCGGGGCTGGCGGGGAGCGCGGAGCGCGGCCCCGGGGCAGCGGGGCGCTCCCGTGCCGGCGGCTGCCCGCGCTGCTCCCGCATGGCCCCGCGCCCAGGTGTCGGACCCCCTCGCTGCCGCTTTCTCGCTGCGTCAGAGCCAGGGCTCGTGTCCCCGTGTGCTAAAAAGAGGCAAAAAGCCTCCCCCCTTCTGTGCTTTCAGTTCGTCGGCTGGAGGTGAGGATGGGGCTGTAGGTGGCTTTGGTGGCTGGTGGGGATGATGCGCTGGTGGTTCTGGGGATTTAGAGCGTTATTTTGTAATCCAGGAGGGCTGCAATTATCTGTTCCTCGCTGGATTAGGGATGGTAATGTGCTTGGAGGTCTTAAATGGACAAATAAAGATGTTATCCCCCCTTCTCCCTCCCTGGTTTTACATCCGTGCGGCTGCTCCTTGGGCAGAGCAGGAGGGATTCAAGCATTCCCGAGAGTGGTATGTGACTCCTTTATGCCTTGGATTTCAGGAAATATGTTATCTGCTCTTTAAAACTACTTTTAAGTGCCAGTTTAAGGTCGTCACGCTGGTTCTTTTTAATTGGGGATGCACATAGCTTTTCTTCTTGGCATTGTATGTATAGAATCGTAGAATCCTAGCATAGTTTGGGCCGAAAAGGACCCTAAATCTCATCTCATTCCACACCCCCTGCCGTGGGCATGTATTTTTATTTTGGAGGCACTCGGGTGTACGGATTTGTGGTGTTCTCATGTTACGCAGCTCATTTATCCATTTTTCCTCCTAACTCCAAATCCAAGTGATTTACATGTGCACAGAGGGACGTGAGTTCTGCTTCTGGGTGGAATTACTGATCCAAAAGATCACGTGGAGGTCAGTTCCCTGAATTTACACGGAGTTCTGTGCTCGGATTTGGGAGGGAGCAGCACCAGGATTCTGAATGGGAGAAGCTAATCTGTAAAATCCCAGAATTTCCTGTGTGGTGCTGCGTGGAGTCGGGTGGAAAGCTTTGCCTTCCTGAGCCCGCCTGCAGCATTGTTGCTGTTCTTGCCTTTCTCCCGTCTGGAGGTGGGAGATTAATCCCATGGATTCAGGTATTGACTTGACTTCTATTTCTGTGGCGTAATCCATGTGATTCTGATTTGTGTGTGGGGAATGGGATTAAGGGAAATCACAGTTGGCAGATGGTGGAGCTCCTCTGTGCCATTAGGAGAAATCGTAACCTTTGATTATACCTACAGATCTGATTCTGTGGAATTTGGTAATAGAATTGCATTCCAGATCAAATATTGCTCATGATAAAATACCGAGATCGTGTTAAAGTAGCTGCAGCAAACAGCAATGGATGTTTTGTCCAAACTGGTGCTTTACTCCAGGGTGGTAATTGCAGGCAATTTTCCCCGTCGGCTGAGAGGTAAACTCTGTTTCCAGGGTAACTGGGAAGTTGTTCAGCTGCTTCTGAGGTACTTTTAGCCAGAACTGAAGGTTGTTGGTATTTTCTTTTCCTTGTCTCTCCTCCGCAAACCGGAAGGATTTGCATCTTTCTAACAACCAAATGAAAACGGGAGTTTTCTTTGTTTTCCTGTGACGTTGGCAGGGTGTGGTAGGGAAGCAGACAGTGTGTGGCAGAAATGCTAATAAAGTTGCCTGGCAGCTTAATCCAGGTAAAGATTTTCTCAAAAAAAAAAAAAAAAAAGTCTTTCAGGAATTTATAAACTTTTCCCCCCTTTTTTTTTTTTTTTTTTTGTTAGACTTTTCTTCACTGTATGCTGTGCTTTTTTCTGTAAAAAATGTCAAGGATGTTCATTAGCAAGTAAAGCTATAAAGCCTTTATACTTTAGAATAGTTAAAGAGGGAGGAATTCTATTTAACTAGAAGTTGTAGCCTGTAATTCCATTTTGATAGGTGTTTAGTTTATTGAAAATAGATGTGCAAACTTTAGTCTGTTTCAGACGATGCCCTGAGCTAATTCCAAGCTAAGTGTTTCCTTTCTAATATATAGAAGACATAGAACAGAGTGGCTCTGGAGTGTCACGGTATGGAAAGTCCCTAAAAGAAGGCAAATTCTAGGACTGTGTCCAATTCAAAGACTCTCGTTCGTCATTTTTTGCTGTCTCATTTTATATGTGGCAGTAAAGGACGTGCATGGCCCCAGCCCCAGGGTTGTGCTCACGCTGCAGTTCTGGAGCTGCTGGTCTTATGGCAGGAGAAAGGGCAGAGTACCCGTCTGTGCTCCTCCTCACCTGGCTCTGGACTGATGAGATACCCATGGATTCGGAAAATTTCCATGTCTGATGATGAAGCAGTTTTTCCCTCTGCCTTACTGGGGCTTTGTGTAGCTGCAGTTGTTTCTTGGGCTATTTTATTTCTGTTTTCAGCCACGTGCAGCACTGTCACTGTGGAGGCTGATTGAGCCCTTGTGTGTGCAGATTCCCCCAACAGTGGCAATATGCTTCCTGAATGCCTTATTTCTCCCAAAAGGAAAAAAAAAAAGCCAGTTGCAACTTGGAAGTAGGTTTTATTGAAAGAAGGAACTTCTGACTTTGTTTGAGAAGTTTACCAATCCTTCCTGCCCTATGGGCTCAAGGTGACATTCAGACCACATGTAAAAGAAGCAAGTCCTGACCAGCAGGTAGATGGAGAGCTTTGGTATTCCTGCTCCCGGGATTCCTTGCACGGCTCTGTGATTTTGCTTGGGTGTTGTCCTGGACTCTGCTCCATTCAGCACTTCTGTTTCTCTGGCTACTAGATAATTTTGAAACCAGTCCTGTCACCTGCCTTCTTGCTTGGTTACTGCAGAGTGAAAAAGGAGCTCTCTCTCCTTGGTGAGGAATGTGTTGCTGTTCATTGCCTGGTCCCTTTCTTGGGATTAGTCTGTTTGTTGGTCATGGAGCTTCCTCCTTTCTGGTAGGTTTTCCAAGTATCAGAATCAAACTGATAGAGCTCCTCGTAATCATTCTGTCACTGAGTTTGTAAACAGAGGTCAGAAAACTTCCTATAGTCTTAAAAATTCAGTGTAGTGGTGCTTGTGTGGAGTGCTGTGCTGATCAGAGACACGGGGCTGGGGATCATGTTGGAGAGGATTACTCCGAGTGTCAGTTGGGGACACGGTACAGTTGTGACTCTCTCTCCCATACCTTTGCCCGCTCATGTGTTCAAAACGTGCACCGATTTCTTATCGAGGCGTATCATGGATCAAGGTATTTCTCTAAGACTTGGCAAGTTTTCTCAAATTGTTATTCCACAGATGCTGATAACTCGTCATTGCTCACTATCTAGGGGAATTTTTCCTTGGCAAAAGAGTTGGTCATGCTGAGTTGTGTGCTGGGTAGTCAGTGAAAGATTTGACTAGTAAAAGGGTGTGCCTAAATGCAGATTTGGAATGTCTGCATCAAGTTATGTGTAACATCACTATTCTTTTCTTATTTTCAAGCTGTTTCTTATAGGATATTTTCCTGCATGTGGTTGGAAGTCTTTCCCTTTCCTAGCTGGGTAAATGTACGTGATGCTGTTGGCTGTAGGGAGGTGTGCAGTGTCTTAGGAAAGAAATTAACATAAACGAGCAGAAAGACTAAGGTGGGTGCAGCTTTTGGGGCTCCTTTTTCAATTCTCAAGTAGCAGCATTTGGGAGGAAAGGACCATTTCAGTGAATCCTTTCCAAAGCCATTCATGGAGCAGGAGATCCTGCTGTGAGCCGTGGGCTGCTTGGAAAAGCGAGACTGAAATAAATGCTTAATCCTGCAAGCCCAGGCATGAGGCTTGTGGTGATGCTGTGAGCCCAGTCTGTATCACTGGTTCGTGTCTGATGCACAGGGGTGACTGGAACCTGGGAATGTTGCAGTATTTTAGGTGTGTTTTTGGTTTGTATGTAGGAATCGCCCGAAGACATCATAAGGCAAAAGCCACAGACTTTTTGCTTTTGCTTCAGAAATCTATTTAAATGAAGAGTCCCTGGTTGTGGCAGTAGCCTTTGCAGTGTAAACCACTGCGTGCTTGCCTTGAGCTTGCAGCCGAAGGGACTGGAGTAATAGTGTTGGGAGAGCTGTGGAATTTGCTCCACAGCAAAGCAGTCTTGAATCCTGACCACGGACCTGGTAGGTTTAACAGCTTAACTTGAAGACATCGTGCTTGACATGCTCTAGGTGCACCTGCCCCACACAGCTGAACGCACAGACTTTTCCTAATAATGCCCAGGAATTGGCTGTGGATGTGGTGCCAGTGAGATGGGATTGTGAGGCTCCGATTCCAAGAGATGCTCTACTTGCTAGATTGGAAGAGGTGAATGAACCTGACTGCTCTCGTCCTTCATTGCTTTGTAGTGACCTTGAAGGACATATGTGAACTTCTTTCTGAACTCTCAGGCCTTTCTTTTTCAAGCTGTGTTCTAGGAATAATTAAAAAAATAACGAGCAACAAATGAAAACCAGGGCAAGCCAATTACTGTTTGCCTCGAGTGGGCTTCCAAGGGTGAAGAGGACTTTCCTTGTCTTTGGTTCTGTTAACTGGCAGGAAAACAAAACCCTAGATATTAAGTGTTGTCAAAACACACTAAATTTGGTGTGGTGACTGTTCTGTCTTTTTGCAGCTATTGGTTAAAAAAAATTACTAATGTTTCCCTTGTTTTTCTCATGACTGGTATGACCTGAATGTCTGATCACAAAGGGATATTTAAGTCTACGGAGTGATAATTTTCCTCAGGCCTAGGCTTAAATAATTCAGACTCTTAAAATTAAGCTGTTGATGGAAGCATACTTAATCTTTAAATTCTTTTCTCCAATCAAGGAGGCTTATTTTCTTGCTTCCCACTGTCTTTGATTTGTTCTGGGAATACATAATGCTGGAACTTTTGCAGACAAGGAAGCCTTCAGGTAGCTTAGGGATATTTTCCACTGCGTCTATATAAATAGGAGATCATTAATACATATTTTCTCAGTTCCTGAATGCCTTACAATTGCGTTGAAACAATGGGAGTTGAATTTTCTGTTTATGCTCTTCGTCTCTATAAAACACACTCGAGGAGAGGAAATGAATTTTTTTCTGAGGGTTGTGTGAATGCAGTGATGCAGTTTGAGCAGTCCAGGACACAGAGGGTTATTATCCCAAACATTGCTTGTTTGTGGTTGAGTCATGTCCTATGAGCACGCACTTAAATGCTGGGGGCTGGGGGGATCTGGGCTCCTCTAAAGCCACTTACAGAGCTGTTCATTAAAAGTTCTTATCAGAATTAAGTGCCGAAACTTCCAGTTTTGGGCTAGAGTAAAGCTGCTGCTTGCCTGAAAGGAGATAGTGTTGGTCTTGCAGCAGAGCGAGAACTGAAAGCTCCTTACTATTGTAGTAATTATGAGTCAGGACAGTCATTAGCCTGCTGTAACGAGCAGAAAAAGATAACAATCCAATTGGTGGAGGTTTGTATCCGCAGTGTTCACTTGGAGGGAAGAAGTGTCTGCTCCAACAGTTCCTCCAAAGGGTGATGCCGCAGCATGGTCACGGCTCGGGCTTTGTAAGTCTTGTCTTACTGCACAGAATTAGTGTGAGCTTTAATGTGGGGTGGGAGGAGATCTGAGCCTTGTTTCCAGGTCAAAACAGCCCTTTCATTTGGCTGGGGGCTGGGAGTCGCCATGAGCCGAGTGGGCTGTTAGCTCCAGCTCCGGGCTTGACCCAGTTACGGCGCAGCCGGCACAGCTCCGGCGCGCCGGGAAGCGCCAGCCCGGGAATGGGCGCTCCAGCTTTGCTGCGGGAGCAGCACTTGGATGCAGAGAAGACGGACGGCAAAAATAGAAGAAAAAGAAGTTAACTGCGTGTTGTTGTTCAAATCTAAACTACATGGGTTTGGTGCACTGGGAGGAGGTGAAGAAGTGAATGCTTTATTTCAT